GGTTTTGTAAAAAAAAAAAAAAAAAAAAAAAAAGTCAGCCTTGGTCAATAACCTTCAGCAGCTTTGAGGGTTCATGTTTTACTATGAGGTCATCGAAGAAGCAGAAGCACTTTCAGGAATTTTTGTGGCCCAACAGAATATGGAGCTAAACAGGAACTGTTACCACAAATCCACAGGCACATGCCCTGCGATTTCTCTTTCCCAAAATTTAAAATTAGAAGTAGGGGAGGAGAGGAGGAAGGCTGTGGGGTCCAGTGGCTTCAGCGCAGCAAGCTGTTCTAAAAGGACCTTGGGTGAGAACAGGGTGAGTGCCACTTCCTTTGGGCTGCTCATTAACATCTTCCCTGTCTGGTGGGGAGAAGAGAAGCAGGGTCACAGCTACCATATCCAGGGGGACCTCAGCAAAGAAGCAGAGACCCACGATCACGCGACCTGCTTCCAAGTAAGCACTTCGTGTACGGAGCTGAGCTTGTGCTTGGTGGTAGCAGTTTGGAAAGCTGAACAAGTCCCGGTGAGGGTTTTCTGAAGTCCCTCTAGGCACCATCCTTCTTTGATTTCTGCATAGTTGGACTCAACCCCAAGCTCTCAGTCTGAATTCATACTTAGCTGGCCCCAAGCTCTCACAAGTGGAGGTCCCAGATTAGCTCCCCAAGGTGTACTCGGACCCCCGCCCACTTGTCTCTAGGCACCAAGGCCGCTGCCTTCTGCCTTAGCCATGCTTTGAACATGGCGTGGACAGCTGGGGACCAGCTCTGTCTTTAAAATCTATTTCCTTTCTTTCATACATCGTCCTTCCCTTCCTCTTCTTCCCCTCCCTCTCGCTTTTCCTTCCTTAATTTCATTTCTCCTCCTTCCACAAATATACGTGGAGCATTTTCTAGGCTCTTATAACAGAGCCAGGTTTGGAATTCTCATTTTCAACAAGGTCCTTGGTTTCCCACCACTGTGGTCTCTAAGGCTAGTTTCTGAACACGTATGTCTATCTTTCTTCTCCATCCAACCAAGTCCTTCTTTCCCCAGGAAAAGTACTCTTTTCCTTCCTGCGCTTCTTTCTACCAATCCATTTGTTTATTAATATATCCAAATTTGCCAGTGCCCCCTTTAAGTCTTGCTTTTCACAGAGTGAGGGCTGTCTTGAGTTTAGACACTGGTGAACCTATTGGGGAGGGTCTGTAATTTGTGTGTGTGTGTGCATGTGTGTCTAGAATCCTACTGGGCTATAGTTTGAAGGAAACCCCCTTTATCCCCTCTTAAAAATACTGTTTTTCTTTGAACATAACTTTGGAAATAAAATCATGGAGGAAACTTACCAACTCCAGTAGAAATTCTGTGCCCTTGAGTCCATAATAATATACTATTAACTAGTAATAATAACAATAATAATGATAAGTGAAGCTGCATAGTGCTGACCATGTGTGTCAGACACTGTTGTCATATACATATATGTCTTATAGTTCTCATAACTTCCCGAAACAAGCACTATTATCAACTTTATTTCTATGGATATGAGGATTTACAAAATCGCAAATGAAGGAGGACCAGTAACTAGTATGAGGTTGCACCCGTGGTGGTCAGCAATGGAGCTAGACTGTGACCCTCAGGTGTCTGGTTTTGTAATCTATTCTTGTCAGACTTGTCACCCTGATGCCACTGGCCCTACCCCAGGGTCTATATTCTTGACTACCATATTATACTGCTGATAACAAAAAGGGAAGTTGAGGATAAAAAGGGTAGAAGGCAATTCCTTAAAGCTGTGTTTATTAAGTATTAAGTCACTTAATCCTTATGACCCTGTGAGGTCAGTGCTATTATTATAACTCCATTTTTTAATTGTAAAGTAGAAAAGTCACTTCTCTTTTGGGAGCTTTTGTTTCAGTCTTAGCACTGGAAACCATGTGCTTAAAAACTGGACTGTGCTACTTTTCTGCCAAGATTGATAGAGAACAGTAACCTGGTTCAAACTAACCAGCAAGAGAAAAGCTGTGGTCTTCTTACCTCTGCCATTCCCTCTACTACCTTCTGCTTATCCACCTGTAAGATTCCATTCTTTGCTGTGCGAGATACATGCAGCTCATGCCATTGGCCAAGCGTGAGAGGATCTTCACTCCTATTGAAGAAAGATGTGATATTAGCTTTATGTTGGCTGGGGTAAAGGAATACCAAGCTAACTGGAAAGACATTTTTGTGCCTGTGGAGATGTTTCTAGAAGTGATTAGCATTTGAACTGGCAGATTGAATAAAGAAAATTACCCTCTCCACTGTGGATGGACATCATCAAATAACTTGTGGGCCTGAATAGAACAAAAGGATAGAAGGTTGAATTTTGTCTTTGCATGAGCTGGGAAATCCACATTTTCCTGCCTTTGGACACATGCTCTTGGTTCTTCGTTCTTCAGACATGGACTAGAACTTATAACATCAGCCTCCTTGTTCTTGGCCCTTGGGACTCAGACCAGGAACCACACAAGGGCTCCTCTGTTCTTAGGCTTATGGGCTTGGATAGCACTACACCACTGATTTTCAGGGCTCCCAGTTTTCAGATGGCAGACTGTGGGATTTCTCCCCCTCTTAAATCAGGTGAGATAACCTTACAGGATAAATCCCTTTCTACATATCGATGTATGGTCTTCATTCTATTTCTCTGGAGAATCTTGACTAATATGGATGGAAACTGATCCTGAGTTAGCATGTTATGGATCATTTCTATCTATTTCAATCTAGCTATGATAAAATTGTTACCAACCTTAGTTACTTCAATTTATTCAGCAAAAAGGAAAACATTTCCTGCTTAGTAATAATTTAGCTACCGTTATCTATCCCTTATTGAATTTCACAATAAAAGCCTGGCATTTATCGTCTTATTAATTCTTACAAAAAGCCTGAAAAGTGGGTAGAACGAGTCTGATTTTTTAGTTAAGGGGTGACCTGAGTCCAAAATTTGACAAATAATTATGCACAAAATTTGAAGAAGAAAATTAAATGGGATATGTGATTCCTTGGTATATTGGTGCCTATCATACCCTTTGACACACTTAAAAATAAAGGTAGATAATTATATAATAAAGCAAATATCAAACTTGAATGACAAATTACAAGTGGCGGTTATCAGAATGTTTGCAACTCTTTCAATTTTTCTGTATTTGAAATTTTTTCATAATAAAATGTTGGAGGAGATACTATGGTTTGAATGTGTCTCTGAAAGTTCATGTTTGAAACTTAATCCCAATGCAACACTGTTGAGAGGTAGGAACTTTATGAAGTGACCAGGTAATGAGGACACTGCTTTTATGAATGAGTCAATGACATCATCACTGGAGTGTGTTAGTTATGGTGGGAGTGGGTTTCTTAAAACATGACGGATGTAGACCATTCCTCCCCGCTCTCATGTGCGTGTGCTTTCCTGCCCTTCCACCTTCTGCCATGGGGATAATGAAGCAAGCAGGGCCTCTGCAGTCTGTATTCCTCTTGACCTTGAACTTCCCAACCTCCAGGACTGGGAGAAATAAATCGCCATTCTTTATAAATTACCTGGTCTCAGGAATTCTGTTAGTAGCAGAACAAAACGGACTTACACAAAGAGAAACAGATTCCATGTTCCCTGATCTTGTGAAAAAAATTTAAATTACATTAAGAATTCAATTATTAAGGCAAGCTCCATACTTGGAGCGTAAATAATATTTATAGGACTTTTCCACATTATTTTTTATAGGAAGGTGGGCAAAAAGAGTATCTTATTTTATTCCTGTTTCTAGCAATATCTAGTTTCTGGCCCTCACTGAAGCTCCCAATTATATTTTCGGTCATAGATCATCTTTAGAAAACCACAAGGAATACCAATGGGCACAATTATTGAAAGGTCACCACCCTTTCATTTAATTCTTTTGCTCAGGCAAATGCTTTTGTGATTTTTCCTTAGCAATTAGAATTTAATCACCCTGGCTAAATCAATATGCTATAAAGAAACAAGGGTCCCTTTTAAGTAGTCTATTTCCATAATAACTAACAGCACCATTGTCGTGTCCTGGTCCTGCAGAGGTCAGCTGCTGTCAATATGCTGCCTGCCATCCTCTGCCCCACTATATTGATCATAGCCATCAGGAGCTCATTCCAGTTGTCTTGATTTTTGAATCAAGTCCATAATGATTTTGATCACTTTATCCACTTCCTAAAGTTAAAATGATTTGGCCAATTCCACAACTCCCTGCAGTTCAGGCTTTCACTGAATTCTCTTAATGAAGCAGGAAGATTTTGAAATGATTTTCAAAATAAACAGCTTCCAAAGAGCCATCTGGGGGCCAGGAATTTAGCTCAGTGGTTCTGACACCTGCTTTGCAAGCAGAAGGTCCTGAGTTCGATCCCGGTACAAAAACAAAAAAACAAAAAACAAAACAAACAAACAAACAAAAAAACCACCTGAAATGCCAATAGTGATCAATAGTGTCAGGGTACATGGGGTGTGGGGGTGAGATGAGGGGACAAGGGGGCAGATGGTGATTTCTTCACTGGAAACTCCTGTGTCTTATTTCATCACTGAATACTCAGGAACTCTTTTTCCAATAGTCCTTTCTGACAAGTAGGAAAACAGTGATTTGCATTCTTTAAATAATTAAATGCACCTCTTGTTAAAAATGGACATAAATTTAGAAAAAAAAAGAAATACTGAACTTTTAGGGGTTCATGTGCCTGTGGCCTCACAGCTGAAGTTTTTCAGAGGCAGGTAGAGAGTATAATCTGTGCACGAGGAGGGGTGATGTGCCTTTGTCCTCTTCAGCTTTTTTTGGCCACTCTTTATCATGGAGAAGCCATTTAAAGTGCAGGGTGATAGCCAAGGTGTCTTCCCTTCTGCACTTGACATATATTTCTAAATGAATTGCTTAAGCTATTTTGCATAATCATATGTAAATTGAGTCAGTTAAATACCCACTAAGTTATCTTGAGATATAAGATGTCTTGCATAACCAGAGATACAAAAAAGTTTGTCCATTTCCCAAGGTAAAAGGTGTCACTGATGTGTTGGAATTCAACCACAAGGACAAACACAACCCATCCTTTTAAGGAATTGTTGGAACTTAATGCAGACAGCATTTCCCATCAGCCATAAAAAATGATCTGTAGTTAGGGGCAGTGCAGAGTGCTAACATCTCACACATACACTCCCTCTAAAAATGACAGGCTAGCAATATGAGTAGTGATTGAACGCAGCCTGCAATTTCCTTTAAAACAACACCAGGCTAACTGATAGCCTATTGCAGGGCACCATTAAGCAAACCATCTTAGGGAGTTTCAAAAGAGAAGGATTAGACAAATATAGGAACAAGAAGAATGTCTGCATTAGATAAGTGGCCCTTGGGCTTGAAGGTTAAAACTACCATGAAAGGAACACGATAAAAAGAAGACATAAACAAATAAGAAAATTATCCGCACCTACCAATCACAGGGTCCGAGGGATAAAACAAAATACTGACTCACTGTGTGGGAACAATAAGTACTTTGATAGTACAGCCTAGACAACAGGAGCAAAGTTTGGCTGTCGAGACCAATATTGCAAATATCAGCAAATCCTTTAGAAGCGCCCATTCACTGCCATGCTATTAAAACCACTCATCACCCACCCTTCTTGAGTGCACTGGTCAGCAAGTGGGTCTGTGCCTTGCTATGACTCATTCTACTGAAAAACAGTAAGAGACTTGTGAAATCACTAGCTACCATCCACAAAACAGTTCAAAAGGAAAGTTAAAATTTTCTGTTCATTAAAAATTTGTGAAAACGTTTTACTCAACACCTTATCTTTGCTGGGCACCAACCACACAACACTCTGTGTAAGGTGCTGATTAATTTCAATTCATCAAAAGTCTCCCTGCTGATGGCACTGTATGACCTCAGGAGGAAATAGAGAGTTTATCCCCTATGGGAAGCAAGCTCATTTTTCATAGTTAGAAGCAAAGGATTTTACCTGCTGGGTAGTCATGTGGGAAAAGGAAATCTCTTAGGCAGGAGACCTATGGAGAGCCTGTCATCTCTAGGAAGCAGGGGAGATTTCCAAAACATAATGATGGAGGGGAGATAAGAAGAGTGTGAGATGGTAGAAGAGTAGATGGCACTTTGTTCTTTCTCCACAGAGGTTACTGTTTGGCTTATGGGGAGAAGAGGTTGTAGGAAAGTCCAAGCTCTCACCTCAGGATACCGGTTCCAGAGCCACAGTCAAAGCGGAACTCCACATGGCCCCCTGCCATGTTGATGGACAGGAAGTCCTTGCTGCCCGTGTCATAGCTGTACAGGAGGACACCATCCCCTGAGTCTGGTCGAAATGTGATCTCAAACTCTGTGAAGGAAAGGTAATGCTGGGGCTCCAGGGGCCAGGGCATGGCGGCGTAGGATCTCAGAGACTCTCTGAACTGAGGGATGGCCAACGTGAAAGCTGAAGAGACAAGCAAAGCATTGTAAGCCCCTGTGTGCTAAGATTGGCCAGCTGTGCTGCACCCCCAGCTACCCTGAAGCCAGGAGGGTGGTGTGACTGAATTCTGGCAAGCCGAATGATAGTGCAAGGCCCAGGGATGGCTTCTAAAACTCCCCTCATCTTCCCCACGCTCTCCTCTCACAATCAGGAATCAGAGGAGGACTCTAAGGCCCTAGAAGAGCCGTGAGTGTGCAGGGGCCTGTATACCCTGAATGACTGTTCTTGACTGTCCTGGGCCCCGGAATGACTGGACGGAGTAGAAGGCCCTTTCACCAATACCACCACTGACTCACAGTGATTTGTGAAATGAACAAGAACCAGTCTCTATTATACTATAAGGCTACTGAAACAGGAGTGTGACTACACTGGCTCACCCTGACTCAAATATACCCTTCTAGTGACATGAGATTCGAAATTATAATGTTAAAAATGCTCTCAGTATGGTGCCATTTGTAGAGGAATGTGATTACCATTGTGATCTTAGCCCTAGTTTTGCTTTATTTTGTTTTTAAATTTGGGGATTCTGGAAAAACTAAAACATATTCAAGCTTGCATTGTTTTCCAAAATCTTTTAAATATTCAGTTATTATTTGCATGTGCTATTACGCACATGTGTGTGTTTGTGTGTGCAAGTATATTACATGCATATATATGTGTACATATGTATTTGTATTTACATAATTTGTATACAGCATTGAGGGATGTAACAATTTAGCAAAACACCACAAAGAAAGAAAAAAACAAGAGCACTTTGTCCATCATATTGTTAATTTCTGTGTGTACCTTCCTCATCTTTTTGCTCAAACTGCCAGATATTACAAAGAACATGAGCTTTCAAGGCTTTGAATTCAGTCTGGTACACATCACACAAATATATGCTTTCTACAAGTTAATTGCAGCCCAGAAGGAGCCCACTTCTGCCCAGTATTTTTTTTTTCTGTTTTTATTGGTACAATCTAGGTATACAATATAGTTACATTCATTACTGGGATCCTGTACCTTCACATGACAAGTCTTGGTTCTCATTTTTTCCCCTTGTCCCTGCCCTCCATTCACCCCCTCCTACCCTCCCCATTTACAAACACTTTATTTCCATTTTTTCATTTTCTAATATTTTTTTCTTTTCCCTTATTCCCTTTCCCCTACCCTTCTCACTTTTCCCTACACCGTTAGCCCTTTTCTTCCTATTTCACACTATTAATTATCTCATTAGGAACTTTTGTACTATTATAGTTTTTCACACCAGAGAGACTATTCGGTATTTATATGTGTGACTTATTTATTTCACTTAAGAGTATATCCTCAATATGTATCCATTTTCCTATGAATGACTCTAATTTCTACTTGGGCCAGGGATTTAGCTCAGTGGTTCCGGCGCCTGCCTTCTGCCCAGTATCTTAAAAGGAATAGTTTTCATTAGTTTGTAACTCTGGCACTCTGAAACATTTCTATTCCTCCCAACAAAGCAAACTTGATCCCACAGAAGGATAGGGCCTTTGCTGAAAGCACAGTAATAAAAAGTTAAAACCACGTGAATTAACATGCAGATAAAAAAAACAGCCAACTTGCTTATTTCTCACCATTTTCACAGTGTCGACCTTTGAACCCCAGAGGACAGAGGCAGATGTAGGAGTCAGCTTTGACTGCGGTACAGATGCCTCCATTGACACATGAGGCCTCATCGCAGATCCCACTGCTGCATTCCCCTAAACACAGAACGGAAATGATGAAGGCAGTTCGCTGCTATGCCCATCTGACCATACCAGCAGCTCACGGTCCTGAGCAAACACAGTATGGTCCCCGTGGCTGCCAATCTGCACCTCTGTACAACGGCAAGTAGAGGCTGCCTTCATTTTAATTTGATTTTGGTTTTTCTTTTATGAAGAGCCATAGAGACTTCCCTAAACAGCATGAACACAATAAGTCAAGCAAATAAACTGAGGACAAGTTTATGACCAGTGAGAGGGATGACTGAGTTACTTCTGTCTGATTCCATCTCTGCTGCTCCTGAAAGAGTGGACTCCAATCCCTCTGAAGTCAACAGCTTGTTTATGTTGAAAGAACTCTAATTTGTGTGAACCCAATTAGCTTAAGTGCTGCTGCCATGTTAGTTCAGAGCTGAGACAAGCAAATGAGCACTAGAGAAGTTAAGCAGCCACACTAAAGCTCACCAACGCACCCCAAAGGTGGAGCAGGGAAGCATCTCCATATCTCCGCTTATGGGGTTTAGAAGACCTGTTTCCACCTCCCAAGACACCGCTTTCCCAGAGACAAGCTGATAGCAAAAAGTGTAACATCACACGCGTCCCTCCCCTTTGCCAAAAGTGTTAGAAAGTTCCACAAGGGCAAATGAGCTTTGTTATTTCAAGACCCTCAGGTAAAGTGAAAACAAATGAACTTCTCATGGGCTGCCTTTTTTTGTTTGTTTCTTTAATCTTCCTTTTTCTCTTCATGTGTAAGAAATAAGTCAAACAGATGGATCACAATTTGGCCCAGAAATACCTAAGCCAGTACCGAACAGGCTTAATGGGACTGAGGGCAAAGGGCTGTGTCTCTGATTGGGCTATGAAGTAAGGAGCCCACCAGTCTCCTAGGGTGCACCTGCATGAGCAGGTATTGCTCACCCACCCTGGTCTAGCAAGCTGAGTTTTCTCTCTGTTCTTGATCAGTCACCTGCACAGGTCTAATTGCCCCACCCCTCTCTCATAGAAATTCAGTGGAGGGCTGGGCACCCTGTGCAAGTAGGAGCTGGGACTGGCTTAGGGGCTGCTAACAGAACTCAACGAAAGCCTTTCTACAAAGTGTGTCACCTGGGCCCGAGTGGGCTGGCCTCTGCGACTTCAGCTGGCAGCCACCAGGAATTCAGCCACAGCCTGGAGTGTCCTTGCTCCTCCTCTCCACCTTTCAGCTCCTAATCCTGCTTCCAAAGAAGGGTTTCTCCCAAACCCCTAGACCACACTGGCTCACTATTAGACATTACTGCCCCATCATTTCTCCTGTGTAACATTCAACCTCAACTGTCATTTTACGTTTACTTATGTAATTATCTGATTAACTGCAAGAGGACCATGTGAGGACAGTGGGAGAAGGCTACCAGCCACCTGCAGGACAAGGCAAGAGGCTTCAGCAAAACTCAGCTCTGCCTTCTGGCCTCCATAACCATGATTAATTAAACTTTTGATGTTAAAACTTGCAGCCCAGTGTTAGTAGGCTATAGTGTCACAAGCTTCTTGCCCCTTCATAATGCAGCTGTGTTACATTGAAAATAGTCCAGTTAGCCGAGTTCATTATCAGCTAAGGTCAACTGACTCCCACTGAATTCTTCCCTTCTGAATTAGCCATTAGTTCTCTTCAGCAAAGATATGCTTGTGTCCTCATGCTACAGTCCTCCCTGCTTGATACTTGTTATCAGCAGGTGTCCCAAAGTCTTCCCAGATCCCTTCATCCCACATCTGTAACAAATAAAGCACTGGATGTCCTTGGTGTCTTTATCTTTGCTGCCAAGGGCTGCTTAGGTCAGCCCAAGACTCTGTTTATCTCAAGTCTCTGTCTCTGTGTCTTTATTTCCCTCTTTCCTATCTCTCAGATGTCATACTGGCTCACAGGAGCTTGAGACCCATGGCTGGGGTTTTGATAGCGTCTCTTATAATGCAAGTTGTGGTGTGTAGTTATAGCACTTCCGGTAAACTAATTGTAACTGAATTAACCATACTTGGCATTATCTCCCTGCTGTCTTCAGGGAGTTGCATAAATATTCCTCTTGCTTTCAAAGCAATCCCAGGGTAGACAAGGCATTGCCATGGTGGTCAAGAATTAGAATTTGACCTTTTCTTCTCAAAGGGGGCATAGGAAAGCTATTCTGACATTATTGCCTTGAGTTTTCCACTGGTCTTGGTAAGGTGGGTGGCAGGCCTAAAAAGTGTATCACTCCATCCAGTTAGCCCAGGCCACATTTTAAGAAGAGGTCCAGATGACGGCAAGACAATCGAGGGTTTGGTGTACCATGTTGCTAACAAATCTTGATGTTCTCAGGATATCTGCAGAACATAGCATGGGCCTTCTCACCTCCTAGAGTTCCACATGAACCAACTTCCCAGGACTGCAAGCCTCTGCTCACACCCTGGGCAAGGAATTCCACATGGCCCTCCCAACACCCTGGGCAGTCACTTACCCACATCAGCCCCACTGAGAGCTTTTCCCAGCGGCCAGGGCCTCATGTCAATCCTCTTCCCATTAACAGCAAGTGACTGCACACAGCCATGAAAATTTCTGTTTGTTCCCGTGGCTCTGACCAACCAGAAAGTGCTGGGAGCCCCACCAAGATAGAGAGGAGTCCGGAAGGTGATTTTACTGTACTGGCCCTTTAAGAAAGAAGAAAATTTAACCTCACCAGACAAATTGAAAAGCCAAAACATGACAGAGTTTGGTGAGGGAAGTGGCTAAGGTGTAGGTTACAGTGCAGTGTTTTCCTTCATTCCTATTTGTCTTTAATTAAGACATAGCCCTACTGGAAATTGAGACCCTAGCTACTACAGGAAACTCAGTGAACTTCTCCAGGGCTGTGTTTCTGGCAGAGATGTATCTGGAAGGCCTGGAATGGGAGGGATGGAGGTCAGAGTCCAGACCAACCTGACAGGATGTGTGGCGTCCAAAGACAACCATTCTCCTTCAAATCCTGACATCAATCCACTGTGTACCTTGGGCAGGTCACAGAGCCACGTTGTCTCCCAAAAGGTGGCAATATGAATTTTCTGTATTTGTAGACTGGTATCTACCCCTTCTCTTTCTGAGTCACCTTTATTTTATATACTGCAAGAAACACAGTGCAGGGATAATTGCCAAACAGTGTGTTGCAAAATACTTTGCAATTATTTATGGCTACAACTATTTTTTTCAAAAGTGTTATTATAGTAAGGTAGGGAAATTTCTAATCTTAGACCAAACCACAATCTGGATTGCAGGTTTGGAGGTTATGGAAAACAGGGCTGAATGTTAGTTAGGAAAAAAACGGAGGCACCCTTGGTTATGCTTTTTGTAATTTATTTGGATTAAAGGATAAAAACGGGAGTTAAGGAAAGGCACTTTGCCAGTTCTCAGAAAATGTCCAAGATGGAAGCCTCTGACATGTAATCTGTCCTCTATAAACATCTGTTTCCAGCAACTAAAAACCTAAATATAGTTTTGTCTTTTCTGATGAACAGATAAGAACCATTTGAAAAGAATAGACTGAATCATCTAGTAACACTATGGGTTTGAAGGATTAATTAAAGCTGTTTGGCCACTGAACATACTGCTCTCATCAGATGAATTAAATGCTCTCTTGGCTTATTTCATCAAGATCCTCAGAATTCACTTCTTCACGACCCCGTGCTCCCACTTCAGGTCTCGTTCCTTGATCCAGGACCACAGCAGGAGGCTGGGCAGCTCAATCCTTTTCAGAGCCCTAAGTGCATGGAAGGGTCAGAACAGCTCTGTGGTAGTGCCTTTCACAACAATGTCCCAGGCAACAGTCTCTGGCCTGGCCGTTACCTTCCCCTAATGGGGCTAACCGTCAGCTCCCTGGTGCCTGTTTTGACCACCTGTGCAGAGAAATGAAAGTGCCCTGGAGTTTGCTTTCCCCCAGGGCAGCACAAGACAGTTTGGGCTAACCCTAAGGTACAGTTAATCCAGCGCTCTCATGTGAAAGCCATGCTCTGAAGAACTGCTCCTGAGGTCTCACGTTTGCTGCCTTCCTCCTGCTCCCTGTCTGGCTTCCCCTCTGCCTTACCCATCTCTCTGAAGAGAATTTTCTTAACATCGCTTTCGCAGGACTCCCTCATCTCAGGTCTGCGTCTGGGGAGCCAAGCTTAAAATAGAATTGCCATCTCCCAGGATAGTCTATTAAACATTCCGCATCTGTGGTCTTGCTTCTATGACTCTCTCAGCAAGTCACAGTAGTAGGAAGGCAAACTTTGCCCCGACTACCCATACAATTACATGCTTTTTGCAATCCTTGTATTTATTTTGGTCATAGAGTCTTGGGATAGGAAATAACATGAAAACTCACATAATCCAAGCTTTCATTGGCTATTGGGTTCCTTATGCATCTCTGCCCAAGGTTCAGATAAGTTACTTTTTGAACACTGGCAAGGACAGTCATACTTCTGCACACAAGACTATAGATAACCTAAACATGGTTTCCCCAAGGATCTCCCCATTTGGCCTCAGGCTTGGGGTCTAGTGAGTAAACTCTTCTTCCCCCCAGACTTTTCCTTTGATGCTAAATGGAACTCAACTTCCATGCTGTCCTCTTCTTTTCCCAACTGAACAGTGTTCTCTTCACCAATTATTGAAGAGATTTCAAATCATCCTCCTGTCTGGGTGACTTCGCCATGAACATGCTTTAATCTACCCCTGGCCTTCTTACAATGACATCACAGAGATGAATTTAATCTTTTTCTGAGATCAGAGTCACAATTAAAGCCCCTGGGAACTCTTACATAGTCACCAGAATAGAATAAGCCTGTAACCTTACCTTTTCTCGATGTTATACCTCTTTAAAGCAGCCTGTACTTTCTTTAACTTGTCCCTGTTTGTTCATCATTTTTAACTTCCTTGCTTTAAACCTTATGATGTGTTCATAGGTTCTACTTTTACTATAGCTTCTCCGTCCTGTCTTTGTGTTAGTATTTTGGACCCAAGTTTGAATTCTCTTTATTCCTACAAAATTTCACTGTGCATGTTAGACATATTCTCCTGCCGTTTAGGTGACTCTGTGTTTCATATGCACTGACTTTCCTTCCTTAGCAATGTGGGCACAAGCAAGTGCCTCAGATTCACATTGGCGAGATTTGGACTCTTGTTCCTTTGGAACCACAGGGGTCCAAACTAATGAGATTTCCTTTCTTTTTTTCTCTTTGACCATCAAGGCACTGCCATCTGTATAACATGTCTGGCCAGTAAAGAGTAGTGAAGAGCTGGGGCAGAGAGGAAGGTTAGATATATACACACAAAGGCTTTCCTGATCCACTTTCCCTTACAGAACAGATACCGGCCTTACTATAATTATAGGCTCAGTTCCTTGGCAGACTGCTAATCCAAACTGCTTACTCTAAATACAGTTCTAAAATTACCCAGAGCATAACAAATATGAGAATAGGTAGGTGATTTGCTGAGTAACTGAACTGTTAAAGTATTTTACCAATTCCTACGGTGATCCTCCCCCAGCCCTCACAATGTAGATGAGAAGATTGTTTCTACATATTGAACCAAAGGAGTCTCTCAGAGCTATTTTCTAAAGCCACAGGATTACCACACTCCTGCCTTAAAATCAGACTTGGTGTTTGACACGAATGCTGGGTTCTGTTCTTCCAATATGGGCCTTCTTTGACCCCTAGATTTGATGTCCTTGTGGAAAGAGAACATGTCCCTGGGCACAAGCCAGTACCTAGGCACCCAACAGCAATGATGTTCACAAGTTTAAGTCCTTCCTCAGCCTCTGGAGGGAAGACAGGACAGGACCCCAGAAGAGCTCAGCTATGCAGGCTCACTAAACCTGGGCCCCCTAAAGCCCAACCTGAATTCATATCCTGCCCATCTACCTCTGCTCTCTGCGGTGAGCCCCTCTTGGGATGCTAATGGGGATGGGGAGAGTGGGCAGAGCTGCAGTTTTCACTCACCTGGGACTGGCCTGTCACTGGGGTGTCGTTATTCAGCTGTAGCAGCCCGTTCACCCCGTCTCTGTAAAGTGTGACTGTGTGCCACGCCCCCAGTTTGATTTTCGTCCTACTTATGATGATGGCAACCCCAGTCCCACAATTAAACCTGTGGGGAGGAAAAGGGAAAGGAGATTCTAGAGTCAGTCAGCTTATTGCATATTCAGACTCCATGGACAGCACTTCCGGGATAACGGCTCCTTTCAGAGTCGACCTGCTGAGTTGTTTATGAACATCAGCAGCTGTTTAAATGTGTGCCAGAAAAGCCAGATGCCTGTTCGCTGGGAAGTTCTCCATCTGTTCACTCTGCCCACAGAACTTTTCAGAGAAGCCTCCTTAGCCCGACTGGCCCTGAAGCTCAGATGATTGTGGGCAACTAAGATCCCCTCTCTCTTTTCCAGAGATCAACAGATACTTAATGCAGATTTGAGATACAGACAAGTAGAACCCGAGTCACTCTATTTCCAAGGCTCTCTTTGGGGACTTTCCTCCACTCTCACGTGACAGGGTCTGTGGTATTAATAAAATATAACAATCCAAGTCTTCACACTCATTTTGCCAAGCAGGCCAGCCCTGCCATGTGTGTTCAGCTGTGCCCGTATACGAGACAGGTGTCCCTGCCTGCTTGGGGCCAGTGTGGGATGGAGGAAAAGCATTATTTTTATTTTTCCAGATCTGCCCATAACCCAGGGGTGCCCAAGTGTCACTATGCCCAGCAGATAGAAGTTTGGTTCTTTCCGGTGAACTTCCAAATATTTACACTTCCACAGGCATCCTGAGATCATTTCCTAGTAATGTGCTGTGGTGGGCACTGGCCTTATTAGGACTGATATTTCCTGCAGCCCACTCATCATGGCCTCTCTCTGTCTCAGGATCCTCAGTAAGTGGGGTGGGATTGGAGGCTTCGTGTCAGTACCACCCCGAATGAGTCATGGATGCTGTAAGTGCCAGTGATATTGAGCACCTACTCTGTCCTCCAAGTGCTGGGGGCCCATGAGGTCTCAACTGCTTCTGGCCACCATTAAACTTCCAGGAATCAAATTATTACCAAAGGATGTGGGTCCCTTTCTCTAGCCCATTTGGGATGCTCAATGGCTTCTCCAACTTAACCCAAAGTATTTTTATCCTGAAATAATTTTTAAAAGACAGTAAACATTGGTGCTTGTTGAGTGTTTGCTCTGGGGCAGATATTGCTCTAAGCATTTGTAGAACTGCACTCATTTAATCCTCATTATGACTCTACGAGGAAGCCTAGGGTTAGCTAAGACCAGGCAGCTGGGAAGTGGTGCCATTAGGATCTTACAGTTGTACCACTGCAATGGACAGAGCCGATGCCCATTGGTCATTCACAGATGGGTGCTGCAAACCTGGTACCTATTGGTCCTTCATACATAGGTGCTGTGTACCCACTGGTCATTCATAGTAGATGTTCCATAACCTCTTCTGAGGCACAAAACTGCCTCTTTTCAAACCACACAAATTAGAAGTGGCTTCCAAAGTATGCTGGGAGAGAAAGGTTCAGGGCAGAGGAGACAAGCCAGAGGGTGCACCACAGTGTTCAGGGAAGATAGGGATAGGGCTTGGACTTCTGTGAGCCCTCAGGAGGCTGGAAGTACCTCACTGCCTTCCATGACTGCCAATCATGTTTGACACAAGAGGACTAGAGACAAGGATCCACAATTCAAGCCTCAAAGTTTACCCTGTCATCCTGACACTCCATCATCTAGGAAACTGGTCCTCGCACATCTTCTCTGCACCGTTCTTTTACCTACTGGCACCCATCCAACACAGACTGCACCCACACTATGAAAACATAAGTATAATGTAGAGGAGAGTTTTTTAAACTTGGGGGTTTGGGCAGATGTTACCTGAAGTGGAGTGAGCGCCGTATGACAGCCAGGGACATGAAATCACCTCTGCCGTGCTCATTCTCCCCACAGTAGAGCAGCAAGCCATCCTCTGCCTCTGCCTGTTGTCACACAAACAAAAGCCACATAAACAATGACGACCTGCGCTTCCACAGAGCACCATCTGGAAACACTCATGAATACGCAACTGGAGCACTCTCTTTGGTGGCCCTATTTACAACGCAGCAAGAACAGGACCCCAATGAATTCCCAGGTACTGTTCATTTCCATTAGGCAAATGGCAGCGAAACAACGAGTGCGAGGAATGGCAGAGAAGGTAGCGGAAGGGGGAGAAAAAGGGGAGAAGCCCCTGACCTGCTCTTTACTTGGTTTAGTGGTCCACCTGTGGGGGTTGGCAGGAAGCCATATGTGCACAGCCATAGTTATAGACAGCTTTGCTTGTGCTCAACAACCTCTATTCTCACCAAGTGGCATTCTATCTTTCCTTTATTCTTGTCATTATTCTTCCTTCTCTCTGGGGAGGAAGCAAATTTGCGTCTTCCCTTTCTCAGAACAAAGTGGTAAAACCGACTTAGCTGATGGATGTGAACTGTCTCAAAAGAGAACAGCTCTCCGCCACCTCCTGGACACTCGGCATTGTGGCCATGACCTCAAGGGTTCTTGTCTCCAGACCTCCAAACCTTTTTAGGTACTAAAAAGAATCACACTAAATTGAAGTCACTGGCTGAGTTTTGATCTGCTACTGATTCAGACAGGAGAACCTCTATTGGGGTCTCACAACAAGCTGGGGGTGTGAGAAGCAGTTTCCCTGGGAAGGGATAGACCAGTCATTTCTATCATTTAGAAACAAATAAACCCATCCTCCCTTTGCGGGGCAACTAGAAATGTGGTGAATGAGTCCAACATTCTTGCTGTATCCTGTGAAGTGGTATAAGGATGGGTTCCATGTTACATTAATCTTTGATTACTCTCCTCTGCTTCCTCTTTCTCTGCCCGTTTGGGTCTAGATGCCCCCCACAAAGCCTTATGGGTCATAGATGGCTTTTCCAGAAGTGGCTGAATGTAGAGTGTGTGATGTTGTGATTGGTAACTAAACCAGCACAGTGATTGGTTTGGCGCTGCCCAAATCTGGGTAGTATGGATAAGATAAAAGGAGCAGAGAGGTGCTGTAATTTCTCCCTTGTTGCTTTTGCTGCCATGAACTACTTCTCTACGATGCCCCCTCTTCCATGTGCCCCTCTGCCTTGGAGCCAACCAGCTATGGACTGAAACCTCTACTTACTGTCATCCACATAAACCCTTTCCCCCTTTAACTTTGAGTGTCAGGGATTTTGTCTCAGCATCGAGAAAAAGTGACTAAGATACTGCCCCTTTCCATTTAATGTGTTAAAGTGTCCAACAGGCCCTCAACAGATGAAAAATCCCTCTTACCCTAAATTCCAGAGTAATTTGAAATGATTGATAGGAGTTCTTCAGAGGCTCAAAAGTGACATAGGAGTGGCCAAAGAACTGGGGATATTGAATAACAATATCTGAAAAGAAAAAAAGACCAACATGAAGGCTGTTTCTTCATTTCTGCAAAAGCAAAGATTCAACACACAATCTTGATGATATTATCAAGTGAAAACTTTCACTGATTTGTTAAACTTCAATATCTTCTTTTCTCTACTTTTCTTTTTGGCGGCACTAGGTATTGAAACCAGGATATTCTCACTCAGCTACATCTGCAGCGCTTTATTGGTATTTTTATTTTGAGACAAAAGTCTCGCTTAGGTTGCCCAGACTGCACTTGAAATTACAGTTCTCCCGCCTTGCCTTTCCAGAGTGCTGGGATTACAGGTGTGCACCACCACACCTGTTTCCTGTCCCTACTTTTTATACCCACTCTTCTTACTCTTGAGGACTGTGAGCTTCTGAAATTCTTAGGAAGAAATGAGATTTTCAGAAGTTACCACTTGTTTTCCAGAAAAGAGATCATTGGCTTTAAGATCACTGCTGTTTATTTTCTAGCTATACATATTATGCATTACACCTTGGCATAATTATTATGCAAATGTTCGGCTGCACCTTATGGTAGTAATGTGACAGTAGTGGTTCCTACATCTCCAAGGCATCAAGGTGATTCAGTGACTGTTGCTCCAAAAGGACATGTGACACACACAGAAATAGGGCTCCTATCTGATTAGAAGCAATGGAAGCTCCTTCGCAATTGGCCCCCTCTAGCTAATTGAATGACCAGTAGGTGGAAGAAAAGGCTTGTCTTACAAAAGGGATGAGAAGGAACTACGACTGGACCTCAGAACTGCCCTCTGACTCTCCCGGGCCCACCTAGTGCCTGCTCATCCCTCTTCAAAGGGCCTACCTTGTTTGCAGCTCTCACCGCCTTTGCCCAGGTTGCAGTGGCATCGTGAGCCCCCCAAGGTGTAGTCATTGACACAGAAGCTGTCAGCAGAGCACAGGATCTCATTACAAGACATGCTGAAGAGCCTCGACGTCATGGCCAGGCCGCTCTTCCCCTTCTGCGGCGCTGGAGTGGGCTGCAGGGCCGCTGTGGTTCTAGGCAGAGGTGTCAGGGTAGCGGGGGCCAGCCTGGAAGCAGTCTTTGGGTTAGACAGAGATGGCATCTTGCTTTCCACCAAGGATTTCTTATTCCCTCCTTTGGTAGTAGGAAGGGGTTTAACCTGAAGCTAGAGAAGGAAAAGGATTCAGCATAAAAACCGAGCGTGGTACCTAGATTGCCATATTCGAGGTTGTTGCCTAATACTTGAAAATGTGGCCATTGTTAAAACTTTCAAAGACCCTGGGACATAGAAGAAGCAGAAGCAGTGATCCCAATTTATGGATGAAGAACTTGAAACTCAGGGACTTTTTAGGACTTTCCCTGTACTACTCAAAAGCATTGCTAAAATCTGACATTATGTGATTTATTCTTACTACATTGTTACAAAGAGGCATTACTTTATCAAAGACTCATTCATTTCTTTATGATACCTGATTTTATAAAACGTCATGCTATGGGAAATCTAAATATGTCTTTGCCAGCTTGTATAGTCAGCAGGCAGCAGCTGTTAGTAAAACACCAGCAGGGTTGGCAGTTTTCATCTACTAATTTATGAGCCCCTCAAGTCTCATGTCAGGGGAAACAAAATCATTCCACATTAGGAATGTGTACTAATAAAAAATAAAAACTGGGGTGAAAAAGCAAATGAGACAATTTAACTTTTAAGTAAATGTCCATGGCCCACTGGCTCAATTGCCTCATCCAGCACGAGCCCAAAAGACTGTGGATTTTCAGAGCAGATATTACTGTTACCTCCTCAAAGGAAATGTTCAGATCAAGGCTGTCTTCAAACCCATCGTCATCCACAGTGGTTCCCATGTCGGTGACATAATGTCCATATTGGCCACTTCCTGCTTCTTCCGGCCCTTCACAAAGAAAAGGAGACACCTATCACTTTATGTCTCCCCTCCACTATTTTTTTTAATTGGTACTTTGTTGGGAGGGGGTTGAACCAAGACTGGGCTCAAACTTGTGATCCTCCTGCCTCAGCCTCCCAGAGTGCTGGGACTGCAGATGTGCCCCCCAGTCCCCGTGGCTAGCTTCCCTTTCATTTTTTATTCTGGTTCTTCCACATGCAGAGCTGTGCCAGATAGGTCAGGACAGACAGGATATATACAAGGAATTCAGCACAGACTAAGTATTACTGACTAAAGAACAGGAAAAACATTTTTTTTCTTTCATAAGTAATGGAGGAAATGCCAATTAATGCCAGAAAAAGCTTCCATTTTACACAGACAAGATTGGCCAAAACGTGAGCCAAGTAGAAAAAAAATCACCAAGAATGGGATCAGTTGGGAATCTCACACATTTTCAATTATATGTAAAAACTGGTATAATCACTTTTGCAAAATACTTGAAAATAATTAATGTTGAGCCAAAATATTCATAGTTTTGACACAGTAATCCTACCCCAACTTATAAAATCTACAGAAATTTTGTACATGTGTAACTACAGAAATGTACAGGAAAAGTTCATGGTATCAGAATTTAGAATAGTAAAAAAAAAAAAAGTTCAAATTTGTGACTAATAAGAACAAATAACACTCCAAATATCCATCAACAGAGAACAGATCGATGTGTTATTTTATACCACATCTTTGGGATGAAGAGGAAATTAATAATGAGCATTTAATGCCTCAGCATGGCTTATTCTCACCTAAAAACTGCGAATTACAAAGGAACGTATCTAGTTTGATTTAAAAGTCAATATAAAAAATTTCATATATACATATACAACTTCATATATGTGTAAAGTAAACTCTTTTAAGTAAGACAACTACAAAAATACACAGCAGAGAATGGAACAGGAACATGAATGAGAATTAAGTGGAGCCTCGTTTCTCTATTATATTGTATTTCTAAAGATAAGTGCTGGGTGATGTGCATAGGTAGATAATTTTGATGTATTGATTAGTTAATTAAAAGTCTTCACAGTAGTAGAGGGGGGCTGCAATAAACATTAATACATCCAGAAGAAAAAGGTCCTATGTGACTTCTTGGCAACCAACAATTTCCATGTGATCTTTCAAAACTGGAAGGTGGGCCAAGAAAAAGTCCAAGGGGACAGTATGAGCCATGGTCCATTGGAGGGTGGGCAATTAGCATTTTTATTCAGTTGTCACTCATGAACTGCACCGACACACAGCAGTTCTGCTGAGGTTGCGATGGGTAATACCGCACGAGGAGTGGTGGTCTTCCATGGTGCTGTCCCAAAGCACCCCCACTGCTTTGAGGAAGGCTGGGTGTTGAGGCAAGCACAGGGACTAGATGGGGTGGGGACACCCCGTTACTGCTGTGGCATAAGTGACTTTGGCAGGTTATTGATGCCCACTGGTTATTAGACATTCATTAGTGTTTGGGTGACTAGTAAAACAGAAAATGTAAGGTTAAAAGCATAATTAAACTGTATAAAGATATCCCAGAATAAGCTCACCTAAACATTTTTCTCACAGAAACTAGACTACCCTCTCTGTCTTAATCTGTTGGGGCTGCTAAAAGAAAAAAGTGCCATACACTGGGTGACTTAGAAACAGCAAACATTTCTCTCCCACAGTTCTGGAGGCTGGAGAGTCCAAGATCAAGATGCCAGTGGTTCAGTCTCTGATGAGGGCCCAGTCTCACACGGGGTCTTGCGTGTGTCCTCACATGGCAGGAGAGGCAAAAAAGCTTCTTCAGACCTGGTGTCTGAGGGTTCCAATTCCACTCACGAGGGTCTCGCCCTCCTGACTGGACCACCTCTGAGGAGCTCACTTCTCACCAACGTGTTGAGGGCTACATATTTGGAGGCTATCCAGACTACAGCACTAAGTAGTGCTCTAGCAAAACGAAAATGGAGCTGAAGAAGAAAATGGGGATTCTTTTCTATCAAGGACAATCTGTTCACCAGACATTTCTCCTGGGCTGGACACAGGAACATGACAGCAGATAGTACAGAGATAGGTGGAATAGCCATTCCCAGGTGTTCAGGCACACATTGGTGGAGGTGGGGTAACACAGGGAGGTGATATTCTCACCCTTCTACAGTAATTCCCCACAGTTCTGTTTAAAATGGGCCATCTGTCAGCTGCAAATTCAAGTCTTGCGATGCTAGATCCATACCCAGATGCATGTTCTCTCAAGCCATCTGCGTGTAGCACAGCTGGGTGCAGGGGTCTTCACACAAAAATCAAGAAAGCCATAGTGGACAGTGCCCTCCTCTCATCTCTCTTCTTCTCTGCATTTTCTTATCTGCCTCCTTACCTCTCTTTTTCTCTGAGTCTCTTTTTCCTTTTCTGTTGCTTCCTCATGCCTCTGCTTTGGGCTTTCCGGAGAGCTGCTTATGGGTAGGGTCTGTCCAGCCACCTTGCTCCAAAGGGAGTGTGTGTGAGCTAGCAAGAGGCATCCCCACAGCTGATCAATACCCTTTTCTTGTTTAAAAACCATCACGTCTTCATTTCACATCAGAATTAAGGGAGTTTTTGAAAACTCACTTTAGAATTGTTGTATTTCAGAGAAAAAAATGCATTTGGTAGTAAAAGAATTATATAGCACATACATAAAGAAATCATTTTTTATGTTTAGTAAGTTGGTCTCTACCTCCAGAGCATCGCCCTGTGCACATCTTGACTTTATTTGTACAGACTGTCATCAATGTCATGATCGTCTTATTGTTCACCTTAAGGAACACTGTCAGGAAGCTCCTCCAGTGTGTCCCTACTGCCTCCAAAAGAAAGTCCGGGCTCCTTGGTCGACGGTTAAAGGATGTCAATTATAACAACTCATTTTTTTTCCTGCTTTCCCCACTAACAGTTTTTAAATTGAAATCTACTGCCTCTTCTCTTCTTATCTGATGAAACTTACCGGGTGCTTAACATAATACATTTCTAATCTTTTAGATAAGTATGATTAATCTCATTCTGTAGATTAGTAAATTGAAGGTAAGGGAGGCTAAGTAAGTTGCCTAAAATTGAAGACTTTGTGATTAGCCCAACATAACTCAACTCCAAGGTCTAACTGCTTAACTCCCACTCGCTGTAGTAGAAGAATCCACTGTGGAAGTAGAAAGAGCCTGGAATCTGAACAATTAATTTAAAATGATTATTTTCGGTGTATCGGGAGCTTTGCATACATTATTTCTATTCATTCTCACAAAAAGCTTATGAAATTGGTATATTCCCATTATTACTCCCATTTCACTAGGTGGAGATATTAACTCAGAGAGATTAAACAATTTGCTCAAAGGCATACTGTAGTAAATGGCAAGGCTGGTAGATATCCCTGGTCTCCCTTTTGATTATGTCACATCATTTAACTTCAAAATTTTTCAGCTTCTTTTTTCCCCTTTTCAAAAGTCACATTATAGCCAAACTGGTCAGTTGTCTCCTGAATACATCTTGCAATTTTATATTTCTTTCCTTCTTCTCCATTTTTTGGGGGTGTTGGTGAGTGTGTTCTGGGGATTTCACCCCAGGCATTAGCACATGAGGCAAGTGCTGTACCACCAAGCTATGCTTCCACCCATACCTTGTATTTGGTTAGCAATCTTCTCAACTTTGCTACCGTGTCCCTGCTCCTATCTCTTCCACATAGCCCGCCAGATCTTCCAGGTGACATACATTCATTCCACAGAGACAGAACACAAAGTGCATCATCACAAGACCCAAGCGTGGTGATATTTTGAAAAATAACATCAGACTCTCCTGAGAAAATCATAATTCCACAAAATATGGAACCACCAAGACCTGTAGGACATTCTTTCATCTTCTCTTGGACAGAGTTATCTGCCCAAACAGATATGCCCATTATCTTGAATTCAGAATACATTTCCTTGGCTTATAAAACTGACAGATGTTTAGGATGATCATCACGGCTCCTGGATTCCCTAGCTTATCATGCTGCTCTCGTATTTACCAAAACAATTATGACCTGAGTGAGGGCAAGAACCATATTTTAAGACTCCTTGAGATCCTGTCCCTTTCCTCCAGGTAACCAACACTTTGGTGTGCTCACCAAAGCAGAACCCCTTGCAGGCACAGGGGACACTCCCCAAAACATGGTGTTATGGTGAAACTCTGTTTCTGTCTTGTCCTGTCTGTGCTGGCTATGTCTCTTTAAGTGGGGAAATATCTAGAGAGGAATCCTTACATGGTGGAACTGTGTTCTCCAAACCCATTGTGTTCTCCCAAAACTACACTAGTCCTGTGCCTTTCCCCATTTCAGAGCTAGAAGTTTAGAGCTGAAAGCCCTTAGACAGCATCCAGTCCAAAGTGCCCATTTTACAAGTGTAGAAACTGAGGATACAGAAGAGAAGTGACTTAAAACCAAGGCCATGCATTTCATTAAAGGAAGAGTTCAGACTACAACAAGATCATATGACCCACACCCCAATACCTATAATACCCTATTATACAATTTTTTTGGAATTAAGTATTTTCAATACATAGAAGTTATGTTCAGAACATCTAGAACATAGAAAAGGTGGGATCAGAGTCTAGGTGGCCAACATCTTCTATTGCCCTTTCATCAGCCCTAGCAAGCTCTCTATTCTAAAGGAAATTCCTCAAATTAAAAGACCACCCAGGAAACAATATCATGATGAGGATGGAAATGATTCCAGATCCTCTGCTCATTTTCATAAATAAGTCATGTTTCTGTTTTGACATTTTATTTAGTATATTTCTTTGAAACCAGATGTTACTCTGCTTGGGAAAACAAGTAGTTGAAATAAGAGTGAGAAAAGAAACATGGAACTGTAAGGACTAAGAGTAAAAGAAATTGCAACTTTTGTAGAAAAATCTTAGAGATCATGCAAAATCAGTCTCCTTTGCAGAGAAGTAAACTAAGGTTCAGAGCCCATGTGACTGGCCCAGAGAGTCGATTCATTAGT